ATTTTATACTTTTAAAATAATAATTTAATTAGTCTTTTAAAAAATAACAGTGAAATATTCAACCCTTATTCAAATACACTCCTCAGTGTATGGGTTTGCAACTGCACAGTTTGTCTTCATGAGCACTGCAGGTCCAGGATGCAGTTGGCCCAGGCAGAATGGCTGTGTTCCAGGGTGGCTGGGCATCCAGGAACCCCTGTGGTTCCCAAAGCCTCTGCACAGATGGAGCAAGCAGCTGTGGGAGCCTTGAGCTTCCCATGCGTTTGCAGGAGCACTGTGCAAAATGGGCTGTGTTCAGTGCCAGGGAAACCTGCACACATCCCGTGGCAACCCAGGCTCGGAGAAGGAAGAGAATGGGAGGGTTCACCGAAAAAAAGGTGATGGTGGATCTGAACTGTTGCTTTGTAAATCTCCCCCGAGTTGTGCCTGGGCTGGTGACATGCACTTAGACAAGCCAGAAGCCCTTCAGCTGTGGGACAGTGATGCAATCCCCAGGGAGCATCAGGATCTCTCTCAACCCTGCACAGTTTGGCCATTGGCAGAGAAGATCAGGTTTGCTTCCAGATGAAGTGCCTGGTGTTGTCTGTGCATTGGGTGACCATGCTGGGTGTTCTGCTGGCCCACAGGTCTGTGAGGAGAACTGTACCTACCAGAACTGTAGGTCTTTCTGTAGGACAGCTCTAAATCCAGTTCAACACCATCAGCTTCCAGCAGGATTTTGCCTCTGTGCCAGCACGGCTGTCCTAGAGAGACACGGGTCATCCTCGAGACCCCAGATGTTGCTGCTCAGTAGTTGATCTGACGTGGGAATCGCTGTAGCTGGGATTTCGGGATGTGAAAGGAAAAAAGGGCAGGGAGCGTGCATGGGGAGGAGGGGGAGGCATGGAGGAGGACGGGGTGGTGCATTCATCAACCATAGAGGAGGATCTCTGCTTTCCCAGGAAGCAGGATGCAGGGTGAAGCCCCAGGACTTCTGCCCAGGGGGCTGTGTGGCTCATCTGGATTTAGCTGGGAAAATGAGGGAGTAGGATAGGATGTGTCCGATGAACCCTTGGACACAGTGTGGTTGCCTGCTGGGAGCTGCTCCAGCCCAGGGGGGGCTTTGCCCACACAGACAGCTGGGATACAACCCTGGAGCTGGAGTTGCCTGGGAGCAGCGACTGGAGCAGGAATCACTGCTTGGCTTTGGGTTTCTTAAAGCCAGAGGGGATGGTGGCTGTGGCAGTGAGGAGGGCAGGAGGGTGGCAGAAGCAGCAGATGGGTGTCTCCAGGGAATCTGTGCTGGTGCTAGGTCCAGCCCACCTTTCTGATAGGGAAATCAGGAAGTTAAGTGAGGGAATTAGGAAAACAACAATCTTTGATTTCAGGTGAGAAGGGTACCTAAGCCATCCGTCTTCTCCCAGGCCTGAGCTGGGAACTATCTTCTCCCACCTGCTTTTACCACTGGAGCCAACTTCCTTTGGATAAAGCATACTTCAAGGAGTGGGGCTGGGGAGAACTTGATAGACAGGGAGCACAACTCATTACACAGAACTGGGCAGGTTAGGATAGGGCTATAGGTCAGAATTTATCTGGTGTAGCTCTTGGAGTTTTCTGTGGTTTAGTGATGTTAAGGCTGTGGTGTTGCTCTACCCTTGCTTTTTGAGGCTCAGGAGAAATGTGGTGATACAGCTCTGCACAGCAGATTGTCCCTGACATTCACTGACATCAATAGTCAATGGACAACCCAACAGCAGTGGCCCAGCTGGATCCCACTAATTTCTTTGGATTTGTCCCAAAGCAGCCTTTAAACAATGGGTCCTGCAGGCTGTGGCTGAGACACTGGTGACCTTTCCTCTGTGGTAGCCCTGGCAGCTCTGCGGATGCCAATGCCCAAGATGGTTTTATTTGTGTGCTCTGTTGTGTTGTGATGGAACAGGCAAATGTTCTGCAAGGGCCAGCCTGTGTTAAATAACACCGTGTATACTTTTGGACTTAAGCTAGAGAC